AGTCCCCTTTGCGTGAAGGGTGGGGCCAAGCCAGCTGCCTGCGTTGTGGCTCCATTCTCCCTTCCCTAGAGCGGGGCAGCTAAATTCAGTTGCCACCAGTAACTTGCCACCATTTGCAGCTCCAGCTGCAGAGCCATGCTTGGAGCCACCAGGGCGGGACAGTGGGACGCAGGAGGTCACCTCTGCTCGGCAAGCCTCCTGGGCTGCCTGTCCCTCCCCAGGTCTCACACTATAATGGGACTTATTACCACCTTCCACTTAGGAAGGCTTGGAGCCACCAGGGCGGGACAGTGGGACGCAGGAGGTCACCTCTGCTCGGCAAGCCTCCTGGGCTGCCTGTCCCTCCCCAGGTCTCACACTATAATGGGACTTCTTACCACCTTCCACTTAGGAAGGGACGGACACGGAGCTGCTGCCCACATGGAAACGAGCCACCAGACCGGAACATCCCTTTGTCCCCCTCCATCCTGCCCGCGGGCACCGGAGGAGGAATTCCAGTTTGTTCTCTGTGAGGGCTGCAAACAGGAATCACCCAACCTGAAGCTCCTCACCTGCCTCCACACCTTGTGCCTCAGCTGCCTCAGTGAGAACAAGCCCATTGGCCAGTGCCCCGCGGCGGTCTGGTGCTCCGAGTGCGAGGAGTTTCTCTGCCTCGCCTGCTTCGAGGCCCACCAGTGGTTCTTCAAGAAGAGGAGCCACGAGGCCAGGAAGGTGGAGGAGCTGAGGGCAGAAACAGCCCACCAGTTTCTGGAAGGCACGAGAAAATCCTGCAGCCTCTTTTGCTCCAGTCCTGGCCATACCGACCAGGGTCACATCACCAGGTCAGAGCGGCATCTTTGCCACCTGCTCAGGGGGCTGCTTTGGCAGAGGACCACAAGGTGGAGGAGGGAAGGGAGCAAAGCGTTCTGTTGGTGAAGCATGGGTATTTCCAGGGCTCTGCTCTGAAGCTGTCCTGCCTAATACAAGCTGACTTCTGCAGGTTCAGATCTGCCATCTCCTGGCCAGAGCTGAAAGGGGTTTAATAACCTACCTTCAGAGAGGGATCACAGCAACCTTTGCGAGGCCTGGGCAGGAAATCAGTGGTGATGGGGGTCCCTGGGAGGAAGGAGATGAACAAGGCTTTAGGAAGTACTGGGTTAAACAACCAGGCTAATGCCACCCAGCTTTGTGCCCACGCCGCCTAGGGCACATCGCTTCCCTGACTCGTGCCTCAGTTTCTCCTGTCCATAAAATGAGACTGACGCTTTCCTACTGCCTCATGGGGCAAATTGTACCCACTGCAGCAGAATTGCTTTTCTGCTCGCTCAAAGGTCCTGGGAAGGGAAGGGAGGACTGCGTGCTGGCCTTGAACAGAGCTCTATTTCCTTGCAGCATCTACTGCAAGAGGTGTGAGAAGCCCCTGTGCTGTTCCTGCGCGCTTCTGGACAACAAACACTCCCAGTTCTACTGTGACATCCGGACCGAGATCCAGCGGAGGCAGGAGGAGCTGGGTGCCATGAGCCTGGAGCTGAAGCAGAGGAAAAGCGGCTTTGAAGATGCCTACAAGGCTCTGCAGGACGAGGTGGCCCGCCTGGAGCGGGTGAGCAGCGAGACTCGGGAGCAGATCCAGCAGCGCGTGGAGCAGCTGGGGCGGCTG